CACACACACACCACACACACACACACACCACCACACACACACCACACACACACACACACACACACACACACACACACACACACACACATATGCATATACATACACCAATAAGACATTTGCGATTTAGCCAATACCTTTCCCTATTGGATGCTTTCTTCAAATGTTATGAAATGATATTTCTTCTTAGCTATCCAACCTGTTTTCATTCTGTTGATATGTGAGAATTTTGTCAAATGTTATCGATTTCTTCCTTTTCATATTAACTATTTTGGTTTAGCTTAATGCTAAAGATGATATGATTAAGTTAATGTACAATAAAATGCTAAAATGATTGTGTTGATTTTTGATCATCACTATCAACGATCATTATGCGAATCACAGATAATAAAATAAGTGAATCAATTTCTATCTATATATTTAACAGATAGATATTTCATTTCAATTGACTTATTTTAAATGATAATATTTTACATGTTTATATACACAATGATGAAATAATCGGGAAAGAACGTATAGATTCAATTTCTCTTTGAATTTTCATTTTAATTTTTTTTTTATTAAAAGAATTTTAGAATAAAAAAAAAGGAAAGGAAAAGACAACTGTCCCGATTAATATTACATAACGGTATATACAGAAAGATAAAAATTTTTGGTAATGATTAAAAAATAAAAAGAAATAAACCATTTCTCTTCAAAGTTTTTTGATAAATTTTCAGATTTTGCAAAAAATTTTTTGGAAGAAAAAAGATAAAATCAATTTGATAATGAAATTTTACTTATTATTGCAATTTTAAATTTATAGAAAAAAAATACTGAAAAATTTCCCGTAACTAATATTCTTTTCTACAATTATTAGATTGATAAAAGATTAAGCTCATTTAGATTGCAAAAATTTTTTTTCATTTTTTCTTCTTTTTTTTTTCAGATATAGATCGATTATTCAATCAGATTCCGAACAGCTTCGACATTCAGCGGTTATTCGACCTTCAAATATCGGCAATACATCACAATCATCATCAATTATGGTCCATTGATAGGGTGCTGAACAATCTTCACAATCACTTTTGAAAAAGAACCTGAAATTATCCTTTTAAATTTAAATTATTTCCCTTCCATTTATTCAAGACAAATTTGCCTGAATTGTAAAGGATGAATAAATCAGTAATGAAAACTTGGCTAAGAAAAATTTCAAACTTTATTCTTCATACTATTTTATTATTTCCAATTAAAAATTATACTTTCGAATCACATATTTGTTTAATATTCCTCTTATTTACTTAATTATAATTTTGAATTAAAATTTTGATATTATTTCTATTTGTAGGAATTTATTCATATCTCTGTTTAGAATATCTCCTCTTAATTATCACATTATCCTTTCTTCTACATTGATTATCTTATACTAATACTACTAGAAACCTTTTGGTTGTTTTTGATGAGATACCAAAGCATCGACGAAATTCACGAAATGTAATATCACGCATTTCCATCTTAGCCACAAATGGTGCTTCAGCATTTTCTTCTTTATAGGAAATTACTAATTGCTGCTGCTTCTTCGGATAAAAATTATTGCTGAAATTATCATCATAATGAGATATTTTGTAAAATTTATCATCTTATCAAAATAATGCTTAGGCTTAGCAAATAAGATAAACTTACACAAACATTTGCCGCTCTTTGTCCTCTTGTTGAAATGGAAATGAATAGTAATAGAAGCTACTTGTTGGTGCTTCACTGCATGCTAAAAAATAAAAATAAATCTTTTAGTAAATTTTTCTATTTTTAAAAAATTTCAAAAATTAATTGAAATTCATGAATTACTTAAATAATTAAATTGATCTGACGATTTTATCTCTGAAAAATGCCTCCGAATATCAACAATTATATTAATTAATTATATTTGAACTTATAATCCAACAAATATAATCCAGCTTTACATTGTGGAAAGGAAGTACTCTGTGTGGACATTGCCATATGACGTGCCTTCTCAAAAAGAGCTGATCGATTGATGATATAAGCTGATTCGGAACTACAGAAACCGGAACTATCCGAATATCGATGTCCACCGTAATCATTACTAAAATATAAAATATTAACTTAAATTTAACAAAGTGTCAAAAATTTGCTTTTCATTATAGTGGAGAATTTTTTATTATGGAATGAAAAGTTTACTTACCTGGATAGTGGTGTTGTACTGCGCAAACTATGCAAACCACGATTTGCAGCACAACTACTACGGTAATTCTTTAATGTAACACCACCAGGAGGTGGTGCAAAACCATGTCGTCCGTATGGATTTAGCATGCTATCAACGTGAAGAGTATTTGTGAAACGTATCGGTGATGCGGACACTAAAAGATGGTTTATTTTATTCAAGATAAAATTATGTATGTATTGGAAACTTCCAATTACGAAATATTTTGTTACTTACTATGATACTGTAACGTTTACATTACGATATCGCAATATTCGCACTACAGTAACCCATTATTCTCATTATGATATCATGATAATATGATGATAGCATTCCGTTGTTTTAGGTTTTTCCTTATTTTATTCAGAATAAAATTATGCATGCATCAGTAACTTCCAACTATACGTTTACATTACGATATTGTAGTATTCGTACTACAGTAACCCAGTATTCTCATTATGATATCATGATAATATGATGATAGCATTCCGTTGTTTTAGGTTTTTCCCTATATGTATGCATCGGTAACTTCCAACTATACGTTTACATTACGATACTGTAGTATTCGCACTACAGTAACCCAGTATTCTCATTATGATATCATGATAATATAATATTAACATTTTATTGTTTTAGGTTTTTTTTCTTTTTTTTTTTTACACAAGGAATGAAATCTTTTATTTATTAAAATATGGATTTCTTTATAGATTTTTTTAGGGAATTTTGAAAGAAAAAAGGCTAACTTGATCGACGTTTTTCTTCTTTTAAATTCATATCACATTCAGCATTCATCTTTTGTTCATATTTATCCAATGAATCATCACTTATCACTGAATCAACCTCATCATTTCCCTCTGTTGTTATTGCTAGCTGTTCCAAATCTCTGTAATTAACAAATAATACCTTCTAATAATGCCATCTATAATAATACTTTTAAATTTTATATGACAACAAATTAAATATATACATATCATGGAATAAGCATGATGATAGCAAAATTAGATCAGATATTATGAAATTAGCATAATGATAATAAATTAGATTATATATCAAATGGAATTAGCATGAGTAAGTGAGAAGTAAAAAATGTACGAATGATATTAGCTTAATCAATTTATCCTATGATTATTAAGAGTGAAAAAGATTTTGAATTAATGAGATAATTTTCATTGATCATTTTATCAAATCAAAAATACCATAGGGAATGATAAGAATAAAGAGAGAGAGAGAGAGAGAGAGGAAAAAAAAGAAAAGACAATTAAATAAACCTGGCAAATATTTCAATTCCGGTTTCATGTTTATATTGCTCCAAACGATAAGCAATTTTATCTAATTTGCAACGTAAAATTTCCGAAAATCGTTCTCTTTCTTCCGGACGTTGATGTTTGAAATCACTACCATCCGGTGGACAGATAAGTAATGGTTGTTGTTGTTGATGATGCTAAAAAAAAAAAGCAGAAAAATTCCAAACTATCAATTTTGTTTCTTAATAATTTCATTAATAAAATTTTTAATGTAAAAAGAAGAAATGATAGAAATTCCGGAAATCTGATGTAATTGATTATTGCTAAAATTATTCATATCAATGTTGAAGTTAATATTTTAAAAATATTTTATACAATAAAAAGAAAAATTATTTTAAAGAGGAATTTCAGGAACGGATCAAACAATCTCTGTGATAAATGAAATCAATTGATTGTTGTATTTTAGAAATTTAATCAGAATAAAAATATCACTACTTTATCAATTATCATTATGTGACATAGGTGATAAAGTATAGATAGTATTTGGAATAGGATTATTGATTGATTATTACTACCTTACTAATAGAGGAAAATGTTAAGGAATATCCTGAAGTTCTATGAGAAGTTATCAAATTTTTTTTTTTATTTTTGAAGGAAATGGGATTTTCATGTTAACTTTAGTTATACAATATGAGAGGAAATGTAAATGAATAAATGAATGAAAATTTAATTAACCAGAATCATAATGAGTTAATTAGTTTGATAGTTTTTAAAGACATTGAATAATACTTACTCCATGAACCCTTTGTAGTGGTAAACGTTCCGTATGACGTTTCGAATTACTTCGTTTATTTCCACTATCTTCACTTGAAACAGCGCTACATGATATAGAATCACGTGAATCACGCTTACTTACATTTTGCATGCCAATATTTCGTTTCGGTAATTTCCACCTAAAAGTATTTTTTATTTGGTATAAATTAATTCATAGAAATCTAAATTAAAATTAATTAACAAAATATGATTTTTAAAATATTGCATATTTTTAATTTTTCATTTAAATATTTTAAAATTATGAAAAATTACGAGCATATAATCAATCATATGTAAAATTTAGTATATTAGAAACAATTAATTAATTTACTTTTTCCAGATTGTATTTCGACCACCAAATCGTATCGATGTATCATCACTCGTTGAAGCGCATGCATGACATCCGGTTGGATAAATTGTCGGATCATTTTCATCCGAAGTGGAAATTACTGTTGACTCAACAAGTTCCGTATTTTGATTCAGTAACTGAGAATGAAAAAAAAAAGAAAAGTTAAAAACCAATATTTAATTTTAATACTAATGTTAATTACTAAAATTAATTTCATGTAAAATTTTGTCCGGCAAAACCATGTAATTTAAGTGATCAAATAAATGACCGGAAAACAGGATGAAATATTTATATAAGTAGTAATTGACAAATTTAGATTTCTTTAAGGCATTCACCTTGCAAAGATTAATGTCGCGATTAATGATTATAAAAATGTAACGATTAAATTTCATCCAATTAAATTTAATTAATTTTTATGATATCATAAGAAGTAATAGTTGTAGTATAAAAATTAACTGTTAAGTATTAACTATTTATAATCTCATTTTTGCATAATTTCAATAAACTAAACACAGCATTCATCACATAATACAGTTTCAATTCTAAACTTTTAATTATTTAAATTAATTAATTTTTGTTCCAAAAAGTTCTAATAAATTTTAATATTGAAAAAGGAGATAGAATTCCAACAGATTATTTCCCAAAAGATAATCATAAAGTTTCTATTTTCCGTTTTTCCGGATAGACTTGAATGCATTGTTAGTTTACTTACTGTATGCAATCTATTATACGATAATTAATTCAAACAATAATATTTTACAATTGATAGTAAATTCGAAAAACTTTCAATTTAAGGAATAATTCAGAAAAGATATGCTAAATATGTTTACTTTTATTATTTATTAACTAAAAATACCATGCTAAATATTTAATTAACTAATTTTATGCCATATAAATCAATCAATTTTTTTTTTTAATATTAACAAAATGATATCATTGCTGATATTGTAATAATCCAAAATATTGCATTAATTGTGATAATATTGTGATAATTCAAAATATTCAAAATAATACTTACATTGTAAAAATTATCAGAATTAACAAAGAGTGTATGTTGCTTGCGTAAATATGCTAATAATTCCTCATGGCAAGGCTCGAATAGATTACTTGGCGGTAATTTATTTGCTGATAAGGCATGAATCCGTTCTGACATCTCTTTTCTTATCATATCGGAAAGGAATGTACAAGTACCACTGCGTATACTGTAATATGTAAAAGAAAAAAATAAATAAATAACAACATTATTCTTTTACAGGTTATAAATTTGTAAATTTAATTAAAATTAAAATTATAGAGAAAGTTTAAAAATTGAAAATCATAAAAAATTTAGAATTGAAAATGATAAAGAAAGTTTAAAATTGAAAATCATAAAGAAAGTTTAAAATAAAAATTACAAAAGAAAACCGAACTGTTAAAAGAAATGAATCACATGCGCATTTGTTAATGTTTCATGTGCAAAATGAATTTCAACTGAAATATTATTGAAAAAAAAAAAGAACCTTATATATTTGCGATGTAATTTGCATGCTATTTCGGCGCATTTTGGATCATCATGTTCTAACAAATTCCTATAAAGAGAAGAAAATAAAACAAAAAAATTAAATTAATTGATAAAAATTACTGAATATCATTTATTTAAAAAAGAAATTGATAAAAATAATTTTTACATTCTGTTAAAATTGTCACATTATTATTGACAATGTTGAAAGTTTAAACAACTTATGCAAATGTATATAATTAATTGATTATCGACAAATAAAAAGTTTCCATCCTATTCTTTTCATCACAAAAAAAAAAATTAAAAAGCATACAAAAATTTTGAAATTATATTTTGAAAAAAAAAGTTCTTTTAAAATTCAAATTTAAATGTTAAAATCTTATCATAGTAAAAAAATCTTTTTTCCAAATTATTTCAAAATTGGAAATAATTTTTGCAAAAAATTTCGTTTTTTTTTCCCCTAAATACCCTTGATAATTGTATTGCAAACCAGAAAAATATCATGGTTAATTAGGCATAACGTTTCTTTTTTTCTCTCTCTCTCTTCTTTTTTTGCAGTAAATGATAATTAAATTGAAATTTTAAAATTTTCAATTTCGTGAAATTTTCGATTCTTTTTTTTTTGAAAAAATTTGTATAGCAAAAGTGAGAAAATTTAAATCATTGAGAAATAATTTAACCAATAAAACAGTATGAATATATTGAGAAATAATTTAACCAATAAAACAGTATGAATATATTTTAAAATTAATCTCAAATATTTATTACTACTGTATCCCCTATGCATGCAATTGTATCGTTACCGGATGATATGTTTTTTTTTCCGGATAAACAAATGGAAGCATCATCAGGAAGAGGAAATTTCACTTTTTTTCCCCCCTCCCCCTCCCACCAATCCTTTTTTTAAGTCCTATTATATTAGTTACTGGTGTTTTTAAATTTTCAAATCATAATTTAATCATCCATAATTGTTTCAAAATTTAATAAATTTATAAATAAATAAATGAGTAAATACAGGTGTATTTAAAATTTTTATATACTTGAAGGCTTTAATAGCAAAATATAAATCGATAGAATCGATCGATCTTGTATCATCATCTTTGAACCATTCCTTGAAAGCTTCTAAACCTGAAGCATCTTCCAGAATGCTCTCCAAATTGCTTGACCAAGTCATACATCCATCCATGAAATCTTTTACGAATATTAAGAAATTCTGTTCTTTTCAAAAATACCATAAATTACACGATTAATATTCAAATGACTAAACTGACTAAACTGTTAAAGGTGACAGGTCATTAAGCTCTTAGTCATACATCCTAAAATAACCCTTTTCATCATATACAATTATTTTGTAATTTTTATAGTTGGATTAAATTAAATCATTCATTCAGAATATAGCCAACATTTTACAATTTGAATGTATTCAAGCAAAAGTTATAATTCAATTTCAAAGAAAGCCGAAAATTTATGAATTCATAAAATTTTGAATATAATTTTAAGAAAAAAATTTAAAAGATTTAAAAGAACTAAATTTAGAAAATTTAAAACAACAAAAGAACTACGATTCAAGTGAAAAATTTGAAGTAATCATGAGAAAAATAATGTAGTTAAAGGAATGCATGAATCCGGAAAATTCAGAGAATAATTGTTAGAAATGGAACCGGATACGGAAAAGATTTGTAATTTCGAACCGGATATGGAAAAGATTTGTAATTTCGAACCGGATACGGAAAAGATTTGTAATTTCGAACCGGATACGGAAAAGATTTGTAATTTCTATCTAAGCATTACAAACACAAGTAATTCAATAAAATTAAAAAAAGAAGTTTGAGCATAAACCAATCCTATTTGTGTGCATTCAAAAGATATTTTTGTGGTTCTTTTATTTGTAATTTTTGATAAAAAGAAATTCTATTGGCGGGAGCGATCAGAGAAGAGCTATTTGTGGGATGAGAAACATTAAAGAGAAGCACCGAAACAAGTTCTTCAAACAGAATGCGCCCATCCAAATCAAATGAATGATTCAGTCGATCGGTCAATTAGGTGGATTAAGGGGAATGATAGATAAATAAATAGATGTATCCATAGACAGATAGATAGATAGATCGATCGATCGATCGATCGACCGATAGATAGATAGATAGATAGATAGATAGATAGACAGACCGATCGATAGAGAAATAGACAGATGGATGGATTGTTTTGGATGGGCTGTTTGGTTGAACGGAATGATTGAATGAATTGGTGGTTGCATGAAGCAATGAATGGAAGGATAATTGAAATTTTGATTTTTGAAAATTTATTTCAAAAATAATCAATTAATTAATTAATTAATAAAGGTAAATTAATAAGTTGAGTAATTAATGTGAACAAATTCATCCAAACTTTTCTAAATCGCTTCATTGTCTAACTTATCAAAATATATGTTCATTCAATGTCTCGTTATTGTCTACAAAAAATTCTAATCTTTGAAGAAATAAATCATTCAGAGTAATCCGGAATATTTCCGGAGTACTAATTAGGAAGAGCATAATTAACGATTAAAAAGAGAATGCTGTGTAAATAAAGCTATTTTTACCAAGCAAATAAAATTATTGCATAGCTAAAATTTAACCAGTAAGGCAAAAAAAAAAAAAAAGAAAATTGCGAATGGAATCTTTGTCAAATTGAATAAAATCATTAATTAGTCAATTAAATTAATTTTATTTTTGAGAGGAATATATCAAATAAAGTCAAATTACCAAGCAAATAGAATTTATTCAATGGAAAAAAAAGAAAAATACTGTATAAGCAAGAATTTATGCGACAATTGCGCTTCATTTTAAAAACTATTGAAATAAAATATCAGGTTAATAATTATCAAATAATTGTTAACAAATGATAAATGTTAAAAATAATAATCATGGCTTAATTACATGCAAATTATGATGCGACAAATTTAGGAACAGGTGACAAATTTAAGATGCAATGAGACATTTTGTTTATTGTTTAATTAAAAAGATTATCAAAAAGAAATTAAAATTAAGCAGAAATAATATTTCAACATTATTGCTTCCATTTGTAATTGAATATTCAATTATTTGAAATGAAACTTATTCAAATGAAACATCCGGATTGTGAATATTTATTCCGGAAATTCTAATTAAACAAAGCTTATTTCAGGATTTCCATATGCAATCCATTCATAACCAATGATAATTAAATTAATCATTAGAAATGATGTTTAATAGAGATTTGTAAATAGCTAAATAACTTGTTATTATATTATATTTTACATGACTTTCTTTATCTGAAATTTATCCATCATTACAGATGTATGTAATTAATATATATAATACAAATACAAACATATACATTGATGGTAAGGAATGAAATTGGAAAACAAGATGAAATGGAAGAAGAGGAGGAGGAGAAGGAAGAGGAGGAGGAGGAGGAGGAAGAGGAGGAGGAGGATAGAAGTACTGTTGTAAGGTTGGAACTGGTGGCGATGACGATGGTGGTAGCGGCAATATCTTTGAAGTCTAAGGCGGCATTTTGTGGATTATTAGAGGTGCGGCAGCGGTTGACATCAAAAGACCTCTCACTTCTCCCTTTTCTCGAAACCTCTATTGAACATATTTCTCAATTTTGATCAACAACTATTCAACTATTCAACAATCTATCCACCTTTTTTCCCTTCTTTCACCTCTTTCCTTCTTCTTCTTCTTCTCTCTCTCTCTCTCTCNC